CACACACAGATCATTCAGGTTACTGAAACCCTTCAATCTATGATGAAACTGTCAGTTTGAAAGAGGAAACTTCATCAAACCAGTGTTATTTTGGTATCACTGATGTACTATAATAGTGTTTGTTAATACTTTAAATGAGTTTTTATCTTTATATTTTGGGTTTTCACTTTAACTTTAAAAGTAACATTTTTTTTTTCAAGTTTTAAAATATTTTTGTTTCATTTTTTTACGTCTTTTTAAATTAATTTGTATTTTATTTATTTTTTTAGCTATTTTAGTACTTCCAGTGAAACCAAATTAAAATGAGAAATGTTATCTTGCCAATTTTTTATTTTATTTTTATAGATTATTTTTATTTAAAGTAATGTTTTTTATGGTTTTAACATGTTTTTAATATACTGTATATACATTTTTATTTTATTTCAAGTAACTAAAATGTATTTTATGGTTTTAAAAGAATAACAAACTATAATAATTGTAATAGTTTTATAAGAATTTTAACATTTATTAGACTTTAAAAAATAACAACTTCTAATGTGAACAGCAATCTTCACATAAACCCATTATAATAAATGTCATATTTACCTGTGCCCTTCAGCAAGTAGGAATTATACAGAAATTGAATAAAGTTATCAAACACTAAATTCTAATTTAAATAAAGATGAATACTAAAAGCTACAAAAGTGATCGATTTCCTCTTTTTTCTTTTGTTGTTTGATGAACAGACATCACAGCAGCTGTTATGAGGTTATTTCGGCTGCTTTAAGAGCTGCTGCTGCTGAACATGACGCGGATCTGACATGCATCGTAGTTTCTCATAACTCTTTACCTTTTCTGACCCACTTCAGCTCTTAAAGTCTCTGTAATGAGCTGAGGAGTTGAATCGGGTGTGTTAGATGAGGGAGACAGTGCTGCTGCTCCAGGACAGTTTGGAAAACCACTGCATTTCAGAGACATGTTCTTAAATCTGAATCATATATAACAAATATTTACAAACATGCACAGTTTTAAGGCAGCTTTTAATCGCCTTTTTGGTAACTTCATGACTTAACTGACGACATAACTATGACATTGCATGCATCTCATTGACAGCATCTCATCTGACCACAGTTCACTGTTGTTCTACTGAAGCTCCTCGTCACCTGTAGCTTTTAAGTTGGAGCGCACATATGAAGGTCTCCCATTTGATGTGGTCATAAAGAGATTCTGCGTCTAAATAAATGCAATTCTTGTCAAGAGACAGAAGCAGCAGTTGTGAGTGGGGTGGTCAAACCTAGCTCCACCCCAACGTCAAATGAGTTAAATATTTTTAACGCATTAAACTGAAAAAATTAATTGCATGCCTTAATGCAGTGGTTCCCAAACTTTTTCTGCCGGGCCCCCCTTTTGTAGAGAAAAATATTTTCATAAATGTATATATATATATATATATATACACATGAAATTTAAATCATATTTCTTAAATTATGCATATAATTTAACCATTATAATACAAAAATACTGATATATACTGTGTGTGTGTGTGTGTTTCATCCTGTTGTCTAAACAGACATAAACACACACTTGGTCTCCACACATATTGGCTTTCAGACGCTCTGATGATTGTCTTTGTGTATGTCTGTTGTTGAACATGACATCAATAATGAGTCTGAGCATGTGACCAGCGACTGAAATCTATTCTAATCAAGAGGTAAATGTGAGTTTAAACGTTCAATCACATCGCTCCTCATTTCATTTCCTCTCATTCTCTCTCTATTAAACTCTCCCTGTTCTTCTCATGAAGAGACGCTCCTGTAAACACCTTATACATTCTTATACAAACTTCTACATCTTTCACTGTCTCAGAATAGTGTCTCAGTTTCCCAGAAGCCCCTGCTGCTGTAATTACACTAATTGGAGTCAGACTGCAACAGTTAATTGGAGAGGAATGCAGATGAAGCATAAGACACATTTATCCTTTACACTATGTTAATGTGCTCTAGGTGTGTTTTTACGGTCTAGCAGAGTCTTTACTTTACTACTGAGATTCACTAATTACTACAAATGCCTTACAATCAATGCAAAATACTCAAGTGTAGTTATGGTTTAGTACTTCATGCTACATGCTGATTGTTTACAGTGTGTTACAGTGATTCACACAAAGCATCATGGGAATAAATTCAAATCTCTATTCCTATGGAAAACCGCACAGCTACAGGCCTAATGAACACCGGATCATCCTGCCATTCCAGGTGAGGGAGAACATTTACATTTGATTAGCATCTCATTATCATATGATTAGTGAACCCACTGAATCAAACCTGAAATAGAACAACTGCAGAAAAAGCCAATATGAAAGATAAAGATAAAAAAAAAGATAAAGCAGAACTTCGGATCTATAACAGACTTCATAAGCCCTAGAAAATGAATAACTTTGACTACCTCTGAAAAAAAAAAAAACATTTATTTTCCACTGATGACATCTGGCTCTGGAACAGATTTTAAGTTTTGAAGGGCAAACAGAGGGAGTTGTGGGTACCAGAGGAGAAAGATGCATTGTGGGACGGTTTCCCTGCCTCGCTGGTCTAATTACAGCTCATGCACTGTATGAGGCCTAATACGAGATGCACAAATAGACTCTGACTCTCAGAATTATCAGAATGTTTACATGCACCGGATCAGTCCCAATCTGACTGCAGATTCTGGATAAAGCATCAGTTTACATGAGCGTCACATACATCACAAACTAAAGCTCATGCATGTGAAGAGACAGCGTGAGAACCAGATCTCATCACCTCTGAATCTTCGTTTAGAGTCACGTCGCCTGATTCTGTGTGTGTGTCAGAGAATCTGTTAGACCAACTAATTAACATCCGACTCGCCTGTCAAACACTAACGAAAGACAGAGAGAGAGAAGAAGTGCAGTTTTTATTACACTCACAAAGGAGGAAAGACAGGAGGCATTTCACATGAATATTGAAAAACCATGACTTAAGCTTTAGAGGACTAATCTAATGGTTTTCACTGTGGAAACTAGTAGAAAAACATACACTAGTTCTCAGAACAACATCATGATAAAATACAGATAAACATAAAAGCAAAAAATAAAACCATATGAAATTAGCTACATTAAAGAAGCATAAACTGAAATAAAATTAAATATAAAAACGTCCTTATTTCTTTTTCATCTAGTTGCCAAGGCAACATTTCTCATTTTCATTTAGTTTAACCTGATGTACAAAAAAAATAATAAAAAAAAATAAAAAAAACAAATGCTAAAAAAAATAATATAATAAAAGTAATAATAAAAATGGCAAAAACACAAAACTAAATCAATAAAAAAATGCAAAATATAAAAATAAAACCTAATTGAAAATATATAATAGTATCTCAATGACACTAAAATAACACTGTAAACAACTAGCTTTTATCCAAAGAGACACTGCATTCATGTTATGTTATATATTATCAATTCAAGCATTCCCTGGGAATCAAACCCATAACCTTGACATTGCTGCATTAAAAATATCTGTTTTCAAACACATCAAATGTCTGTTTGAATGCACATCATCAAATAGTTCATATAATATTTAATTTGAGATTGACAATCAACATTTTCTGAATCTCAAGTGCCTCTTTCACTGATTGTTTAAAAGTCAAAAATATTCAGCAGCACTACTTTCAACACTGATAATAATCAGAAATGTTTCTTCAGCAGTAAATCAGCATATTAGAATGATTTCTGAAGACCATGTGACACTTAAGACTGGAGTAATGATGCTGACATTTCAATTTTGATCACAGGAATAAATTACGTTTTACACTATATTCACACATAAAACAGATATTTTACATTACAATAATATTTCACATTTTTACTGTATTTTTGATCAAATAAATGCAGCCTTGCTGAGCATAAGAAACGTCTTTCAGAAACATTGGTATGCATCTGTTACATAATGAAAGACATTCACTTGCTCTGAAGGAGAAAACAACTGTTTAGTCACAAACATACTCACTCTGACTAATGTTCAGTGACTCAAATGTTCAGTACTCAGAACTTGATCGGGTTACGTGCTGTTTAAACAGCCCTGAGGATGATGAAGGGATGAAGATGTCTTACCTTTGCCATCTGCGCCTGCACACCGGTGGCCTTCAGAGACGAAACAGCCTTCAGTGCTGCTGCCTGACAGTCAAAGTCCACGAAACCATAACCTACAGACACAGCAGAACACTAATGTGATATCACATGAATAGGATTATCAAGTCCAGTCCACTTATTTGACCAAGAACCGGCCCCTTAGACAGGAAAAAACCATGTGACTGACATGTACAGCGACCAATCACTTCACATGGAATTTGATTCTTTGAAACAATTATGCATGAATCAAAGTCACAAAACATTCTTGAGTCACAAAACATTCTTATTTTCCTACTCCTACATCCCCCAAAATACTTAAGAATGCTATTTTTTTTCTTAAGGCTGTTCTTAAAATAAAACTTAATAAGAATTCAAATTTTTGAAAATAATTTTCTTAAAAAACATTGTACATAACTTTTTAAAATATAACATCCAACTTGTCTTAAATCTTTTAAGGTTAGATGTTCAATTAATTCATTGGGTTGTTTCATATAATAAGCATTACAACATAACACTAGCTAAAAATGCATACCAGTATTATTAGCAATGTGTCGTCAACAACAACTGCAATACAATTAGACAATACCAAAGCCTGTCCTTTTCTTCTGAAGAAAAAATAAAATATTTGACAACTCCTTAAATTTTTTTTTCAAGAATTGCACTTTTACTTTCAGAAATTTCTTAATTTCTTTCTTAAGGCAAGACATCCCAAGTGAATATAAAAATAACTAATAGATTTCACCATACTTCTCCTAGTTGATTGATTACATTAAAAAGTGCAAACATCTTTTGAATTGCCTAATTTAATATGCAAATATATGCATGCATTTTCAGAACATAAACCAGAACACTGGTTCAAAATTTGTGTATGGTTTTGTTGTCATATTTGAGTTAAAGGTTTTCATAGAGGAGATTTTGGATTTCTCTTTTTATCACTCCATAAGTCAGAAAATACTGTCAACTGACAGAAAACAAATACATTTTCTCCGCGTTTTTAGGAATAAAATGTTGTATAAATCAGTGTGAATGAAAACAAACCCCTCATTTGAAAGCTTCATGATAAGAATAAAACTGTAAATTTTGGTGTTTGTAAGTACTGCTGAAGTGGAGAAAAAACTTCTTAAAGAAATGTACTGTATTTAAAATCTACAGACGCAAATAAACATAAACACTTAAATGTGTATTTTGGATGTTTTCTTTCCACTAGTCTGCATGCCATGAAAATCCAAACAGACTAAAACCTAAAAAACTGACCAGCGCATGAAAAATAATGGTTTTGCTTGCAGTGTCTTGCCTTAAGGAGACTTTGGTGAATCCGGCTCCAGAGCCTTGAGCGGATCATGTGTAAATGCAGCAAAACTTTGTCACCCACATTCAAGGAGAACCAAGGCCCATCAGAACCTATTCCACTGCACTTTTTGAAGATAGAAAATGTAAATTAAACTAACTAAAAGTGTTTTTCATTATCAGATCACCTTTAACCAAACAGTGTTCGAAAAACACCTGAAGACACTCAGTAATCATCTTGCATTAAACCCTTCATCTCCATGGCAACAACCCTTCGACTTTACTTTCCTCCTCTGCGTTCCCCATTTTTCCTGACCTCATCCATCAGCACGCGAGCCGAGAGGAAACCCGCAAACCTGATTTATGAGTTATGAGATATTTATGAGCGATCGCTCTTTCCCACAATCCCTCACTCGTCCTTTATTTTCCGTCACACCTTCATTCTCGGGGCTGTATCAGCAGATAAGGGTCACACTGGTGTTAATTAAAATTTCATGGCAGATTAAATGAGTACACACACACACACACACACACACACACACATGCAGTCTTTGGATTAAAGCCCGTCAGCGGCGGCCTGTTATCCAGGAGAGACGAAGGTTTAATTAGAGGAGAAATAGGTTATAAGACCCTCTTCACAGATCAAATCCTCAAATACTTCCTCACAGACACACTGGGAAAAAAAATCAGTGAAACAATTGATAAAATGAGTTGTAGAAGGGCTAAAACAGGAATGGTGAAACACGGGTTAGTTGGAGTTGTGATGCGTGTGTATTTTAATGGCATACATTTTCACATTTACACCTTGTTTTTAGGAAGATTTTAGGAAGAAAATTCCATTTTAGTCTTTTATACTTCAAAATATCATGTTTAATTCAGTAAGCTACTTGCCATTTCTTTATAATTATTTGTGAAATTGACTAGCAATTTCTGAGTGAAGATTAGTTTATTATTAGAAGTTTATTTTATTTTGAGTCGCAATGTTTTTTATGGTTTTAGTTAACTATAATAACCCTGATTTACACAGGACATGTTCAAACAAGAGCACAACATCATAAAAACTCAATTCACGATGCGAGATGCTGAAGAAACAGATAAAACATCTCTTCAATAGCGTAACTGACAGATGATCAACTCATAAACATCTACACATAAGTGAGACCTACAGACGATCATGAAATGCGCCACTGAAGGTGATGAACAGTGTTGGGGAGTAACTACTTACATGTAATGGTATTACGTAATTTAATTACAAAATAAATGTAATTAATCAGTTACAGTTACTGAGAAAAAATGTGTAATTAAATTACAGTTACTTATAAAAATGTTAAAGATTACAAAGAGGGTTACATCTGAATATTTACACACACACTCCCACATACAGATTTAATTGAATTCTTTTATCAATTGCATTGAATGCTCTAAAATATGAGACATCAATGTTTCAGGAGTTTAAGACACACTTTTTTATTTCCCATTTGGTTTATGCTTTATTTTTTAAGATTAACTGTTTTTTTCCAAAGTATCGTTAGATTCCAGTGTTTCCTGTCATAACTATGCAAAGCTTTGATTTCAAAAACAATATCATAGCTATTAAACTATTTCTTGTTGTGATTTTAAATCTGTATTTAACCTCAGAATGGTCTCAAAGTAAAAAGAGGTGCTGAAGTCTGATTTTGTGGTGGCTGTGCTTTAAATGACATTATTAAAATATTAGTTCAAGTGATGAAGGATTTTGAAATTCTGACAGTAATCAGTGTTGAGTACTACTGTAAGGTTAACCCTGTCTGCTTCAAATGTTTCAAAATGATTAACAGTTGAGATATTTGTTTTGTTTACACACGTTTTCAACTAAAAGAAAACCTTGAAATATAACGCAACGTTGTTGTAGAACATTGTTGTGTATAATTCCTAATCATAAGCTTGTTCAGATATGGTGTCAAAAACCTGATTACTAAAAAATAACGTCTTTCTCGTTAAACATAATTTAAATAAATGAATATTCGAATATTCGTTTTTTTATGAGCCCAAATATTTGAATACAATATATTTTTTAAAATGCCCATCCCTATATTAAAGCTAAAACAACCAGAAAACATGTAGATGTACTAGTCCGCTTCACTAGTGCAATTACCACATAAGCAATTTAATATTATATAATAAAAACATAAAAACAGGTGTTTACCTTTGCACTGGTTTGTGTTCTTGTCCAGGATGGCCTTAGTAGACACAATTTTCCCATATCTGTGAGGATAGAAATGATTAACAATCAGATCCAAAAAAAAAAACAGCAAAAATGTTTATACAGTTTACAGATGCACATAAAGTTTATATGTTTGAGACTTTGTTTGTATATTGATTTACTATAATAGTTTTTGTTAATATTTTGAATTTGATTCCATTTTAATATTTTCTGTTTCCACTTAATTATAATTTTTATTAGTTTTTTTGAATGTCTGTATACTTTTTTATTAATTTTTATTTATTAATTTTAGTTTGTTTAATTTTTGTTATTTTAGTACTTACTAAATGAAAATGAGAAACATTAACATTTATTTTAATGTTAATGTTTATTTTATTTCAAGTAGTGAAATATTTTTATGGCTTTAATTTTAGTTAGCTATAATAACTTACAGGTTATTATACAAGTTTCCAGCTTTATTTGCACATTTATATGATTATATTTCTCCCCTGAAATCATTTATAATGTTAATCAAAACATATTGCACCCAAAACAGTCAGAAGTTAGTTTTTGGGATCATTTCTACAAATAAAACAATCACAATCCTGATTGATTTGCCCTTTAACACGAATAGTAAATGTTGTGTAAATATGGCTGTATAGTTTGTGTAGTTCAGTCAGAGAGTTAACTCAGTGTGTGTGTGTATAAATAAACCAACAGGGTTAATACTGTTAATTAAAACAGAGATTATTGAAATAATTTTTCTTAATTTAAATAAAAACTTTAATGAAAAAAAACGTAACATTAGATGAAAGTAACATTAATACTAAGTGTTAAAATTTTAAAGTAAAGTGAATTAAGTAAAAGTTAAAAGTAACATTAGGAAAAAAAAAAAAAAGAAAACCAGAAATGTTGCCTTGGCAACTAACTGAGACCAGTTTAAGTTGAAATAATAAAATAAATAAAAACTGAAGTAAAAACTAAAACTGAAATAAAAATAAAATAAAAATGTTTAAAACCTAAACAGTAAACAAAACTTAAAAAAACTAGAATATGACAAAACCACATAAAATAATTAGAATGAAAACTGAAAATATAAGAGGAAAAGCTAATTCAAAATATTAAAATGATAATAGTGAATATCATGAAAACACAGAAAAACAAAAATATACCCATTGACATCATGCTATAGGAAAAATATTTCCAAATTTTTGAGTTTGTTGTGTGTGAACATGCCTTCAAGCTCCAAACACACAGCTCGTCCTCATGGGGTGTGTGTGTGCCATAAGCACATCTCATTACAGACATACTGTTTGTGTCCGCTGGGAAACCGTGTGTGTGTGTGTGTTGTTGTTGTTGTTGTTGTTCTGTGGGGACAGTTTCACAAGTCAGAATTGCGAGATTGTGAGATGAGAAAAACAATTCCAAGACGTAAGCTCAGAATTGCAAGAAAAAATGTAGAATTGCGAGAAAAAATTGCAAGACGTAAACTCAGAATTGGAAAGAAAAAAAAATCAGAATTGCAAGAAAAGACAGAACTTGCAAGATATAAACTTAGAATTGCAAGAAAAAAAATCAGAATTGCGAGAAAAAAACTGCAAGACGTAAAATCTCAGAATTGCGAGAAAAATATCAGAATTGCGAGAAAAAATTGCAAGATGTAAACTCAGAATTGCAAGAAAAAAAAGGTCAGAATTGTGAGACTGTGAGATGAGAAAAACAATTCCAAGACGTAAACTCAGAATTGCAAGAAAAAATTCAGAATTGCGAGAAAAAATTGCAAGACGTAAACTCAGAATTGCAAGAAAAAATTCAGAATTGCGAGAAAAAATTGCAAGACGTAAACTCAGAATTGCAAGAAAAAATTCAGAATTGCGAGAAAAAATTGCAAGACGTAAACTCAGAATTGCAAGAAAAAATGTCACAGACATACTGTTTGTGTCCGCTGGGAAACCGTGTGTGTGTGTGTGTTGTTGTTGTTGTTGTTGTTCTGTGGGGACAGTTTCACATTATCATCACTCTTGGTCTCATTAAAAGTTGAAAAGTTAACTACTTACTAAAACATAACATACAGAACTTCCTGTTTCTATGATCTAAAAATACTGAAGCATGACATTAGACCCTATAAAACCGCTGAACCATAATGAAAATGCACAGCAGACTGCAGCGTGTGTGTCAGTGAAGTGCTCAGCATTACCGAACACATCCTGGGCTTCAATTAAAATCATGTTTGAAATCATGCTTGATGTCACATTGAAACAGAAGGTCAAGTTGAGCGCACTGCATTGTGGGATACAGTACACAGTGTGCTTTAGTTGAATACTATGGAAGCATGCTTATGTCACAAGAATTTTTCCTGCCTCAGAGTTTTTCTCTCAGAATTGTGAGATGTAAACGCAGAATCTACAGCTATAAATTCAAAAATGCAAGAAAAATTGTGAGATGTAAACTCAGAATTGTGAGAAAAAATTCAGAATTGTGAGAAAAAAATTCAGAATTGCGAGAAAAAATTGTAAGACGTAAACTCAGAATTGCAAGAAAAAAAAATCAGAATTGCAAGAAAAGACAGAACTGCAAGATATAAACTTAGAATTGCAAGAAACAAAATCTGAATTGTGAGATGCAAACTCATAATTACGAGAAAAAAATTCAGAATTGCGAGAAAAAAACTGCAAGACGTAAAATCTCAGAATTTCAAGAAAAAATTCAGAATTGCGAGAAAAAATTGTAAGACGTAAACTCAGAATTGCAAGAAAAAAAAAATCAGAATTGCAAAAAAACACAGAACTACAAGATATAAACTTAGAATTGCAAGAAAAAAATCTGAATTGTGAGATGTAAACTCATAATTACGAGAAAAAAATTCAGAATTGCGAGAAAAAAACTGCAAGACGTAAAATCTCAGAATTGCGAGAAAAATATCAGAATTGTGAGGAAAAAATTGCAAGATGTAAACTCAGAATTGCAAGAAAAAAAAAGTCAGAATTGTGAGATTGTGAGATGAGAAAAACAATTCCAAGACGTAAACTCAGAATTGCAAGAAAAAATGTAGAATTGCGAGAAAAAACTGCAAGACGTAAACTCAGAATTGGAAAGAAAAAAAAATCAGAATTGCAAGAAAAGACAGAACTGCAAGATATTAACTTAGAATTGCAAGAAAAAAAATCTGAATTGTGAGATGCAAACTCATAATTACGAGAAAAAAATTCAGAATTGCAAGAAAAAAAATCTGAATTGTGAGATGCAAACTCATAATTACGAGAAAAAAATTCAGAATTGCAAGAAAAAAAATCTGAATTGTGAGATGCAAACTCATAATTACGAGAAAAAAATTCAGAATTGCAAGAAAAAAAAAGTCAGAAGTGTGAGATGTGAACTCAGTTGTCTGGTCACTTGTGTTTAAATCATTAGAGTTTTGAAAAGTTTATTTACTCATTTCTGGTCTATTTCTGGAGCTGGGATGTGGATCTTTGTATGTGTGCTGTGTGACACTCTTGAGAGTTTGGTTGTGTGTCCGGGAGTGTGCTTTTGGATAACTAATTCTGGTGATCACTCCTTCTGTGAGGAGCCTCAGCCCCTGGGGGTCAGTAGAGTTTTTTTTGTTGTTGTTGTTTTGTGCATACTTAGTGTTTATGTAATGATTTTCTTCCTTGTTGTTTTCTTTTTTATTTATTGTGATTGTTTTGTATTTAGAACTTGAATTGCCATATTGATGAGTGGAATTCCTTTGAAAGCGTCGGCTTTGTTGCTTCATTTTTTCCTTTTTGTTTGTTTGTGAGTTGTACGAATTCCAGTCTTTATGTGAATCATTCTTCATGTCTTGTATCTCTATTTTTTCTCTTTATTGATTTGTTTATTGCTTTCAGAAACCAAAAATTGTGTGTGTGTGTGTGTGTGTGTCTGTCTGTCTGTCTGTCTCTGTGTGTGTGTGTGTGTCTGTGTGTGTGTGTGTGTTTGTGTGTGTGCACTCACGGTTGGCAGAGTTTGATGAGGTCCTGGTCTGTGGTTCCAGGTGGAAGTCCTCGTATGTACAGGTTAGTTTTACTGAGCTGCACCAATGCACTCTGACTACAGCTGCCGTTTCCTGGACTGGGCGGGGCCATCAGCTGAGGGGGCGGGGCATATGGCTGTTAGACAGAGAGAGGGCGTGGTTAACCTGAAGGTTCTAAAAAATATTAGTGTGTTCCACTTAAAGCGGCGCTGCACAGACCAAAGTAAATAAATAAAACTGTTCTAGTTCACATTTAATGCCATTTTATATTAATTTACCTTTATATTTATTCATTCAGCAGACTTGTATGACTATACAAAAGGAAAACGTCCAAAGCCATTCATCTTACTTTGTGTAACACAGGGTTATTATTGATAACCATAATAAAAACGATTAAAAACACTTCTGATAATTAAAATAAATCTGAAAATAAATAAATGAATAAATAAAAAACAAATATTGATGGAAAAATTAAATAAAGATATTATATAGAAATAAAATATATAGAAATATTGCCTTGGCAACTAACTGAAATACATTTAAGTTGAAGCAATAAAATTCGGAAATAAAAACTTATACTGTACTAAAATTGAAATAAAAATAAATGGTTAAATTTTTTTGCATATATTTTACACAAAATAATTACTAAAACTTTAAACAATATACAAAAATTCTTAATGATACTGAAAAAACTCTGATATATAATACTAAAATAGCACTGGTGCAACAGGGTTGTGGGCAATAATATGACAATATTCTGCCTGTTAAATTGTGAAGAGTGTTTCTGGATCAGACAGTAGTATGAGTTACAAACGCATCCAGACTGAACTAAACTTCTTCACCCGATTCCTGTGTCTCTGTCTCTCTCCCACGATCCTTTGCTCTCTCTTGGCTGCCGTCTGTCTGCAGGAATGTGAACGTCCCACCCTTGTGATCAGCTTTGTTTTAAAGGTCAGGAGTTTTACACAATGAGGCAGAAAGCATCAAACCACACACACTTTACTCGCCAGTCGCCACATGCTGAAACAGACGCAAAACGCACGCAGAATAAACCACATGCTGCTGAGGGAGGAAAAGAGATGATAAATGTCCTTCTGTGAGATGTTCATGTGTCTCAGTCTGTCAGGAGAGGATAGTAAAGCTGAGACACTATGAAACAGAAGAACAAGCAGCAGTAATGTCACATAGTCAGACTTGTGATCTGCTCCACAAGCTTATGCTGACCAATTAGACAGGAAGAGACCGTTTGATTACATGCAAATCAGAGCAAACGTGGAAGGAAATACAGTGTCAACCACTAATATTGGCACCCTTGCTAAATATAAGCAAAGGTGGCTGTGAAAATAAATCGGCATCATTTATCTTTTTGATCCTTCATTCAAAAAATTCACAAAATTCTAACCTTTCATTGAAGTGAAACAATTGAAATTGGGGGGAAACTCACATTATGAAATAAATGTTTTTCTCCAATGCATGTTTGCCACAATTATTGGCACCCCTAGAAATTCTTATGTGTAAAATATCTCTGAAGTATAATCCCATTCATATTTACAATTTTTTTTAGCACACCAAGGTGACTAGGAGCATGACTTCCTGTTCCACGGGATTATAAATAGAAGGACACAAAGGCCAAATTCCCTTAATCATCCATCACAAAGAGTAAAACCAAAGAATATAGTGCAGAACAAGATTGCTGAGCTTCACAAAATAGAAAGTGGCTGTAAGAAAATAGCTAAAGCATTTAAAATCCCAATTTCCACCATCAGGGCAACAATTAAGAAGTTCCAATCAACTAAAGATATTACAAATCTGCCTGGAAGAAGACGTGTGTCTATATCGTCCTGATGCACGGTGAGGAGGAGAGTTTGAGTGGCCAAAGACTCTCTGAGGATCACAGCCAGAGAATCGCAGAGATTAGCTGAGTTTTGGGATTAGTTGAGTCCCTACATCACCACATGTTGTTTGGGAAGGTTTCAAGAAAAACCCTCCTCGCTCATCCAAAAACAATCTCCAGCATATTCAGTTGTCAGACACGACTGGAACTTCGAACGGGACTGGCTTCTATGGTCAGATAGAAAAAAAAATAGCTTTTTTGGCAGCACACCCACCAGATGGGTTTGGTGCAAACAGGGATAAAAAGTAGCCCATGCACACGGTTAAATATACTGCTGGATCTTTAATGTTGTGGGCCTGTTTTTCTGCCGGAGGTCCTGGACATCTTGTTCACATATTGGCATCATGGATCCTATCAAATACCAACAGATAAAAAATCTAAACCTGCCTGCCTCTGTTAGAAATCTTATAATGGACCATGTTTGGATCTTCCATCAGCAGAGTATTCCAAAACAAACATCTCATTAACACAAAAATCGGTCACTGAGCACAAAATGAAGCTTCTGCCATGGCTGTCCCAGTCCTCTGACCTGAACTCTATAGGAAAAAAAATGGGGTGAACTGAAGAGAAGAAGCACCAACATGGAGCTGTGAATCTGAAGGATCTGGAGAGATTCTGGATGAAGGAATGGTCTCTGATCTCTTGTCAGGTGAGAGATGATAAATGTCCTTCTGTGAGATGTTCATGTGTCTCAGTCTGTCAGGAGAGGATAGTAAAGCTGAGACACTATGAAACAGAAGAACAAGCAGCAGTAATGTCACATAGTCAGACTTGTGATCTGCTCCACAAGCTTATGCTGACCAATTAGACAGGAAGAGACCGTTTGATTACATGCAAATCAGAGCAAACGTGGAAGGAAATACAGTGTCAACCACTAATATTGGCACCCTTGCTAAATATAAGCAAAGGTGGCTGTGAAAATAAATCGGCATCATTTATCTTTTTGATCCTTCATTCAAAAAATTCACAAAATTCTAACCTTTCATTGAAGTGAAACAATTGAAATTGGGGGGAAACTCACATTATGAAATAAATGTTTTTCTCCAATGCATGTTTGCCACAATTATTGGCACCCCTAGAAATTCTTATGTGTAAAATATCTCTGAAGTATAATCCCATTCATATTTACAATTTTTTTTAGCACACCAAGGTGACTAGGAGCATGACTTCCTGTTCCACGGGATTATAAATAGAAGGACACAAAGGCCAAATTCCCTTAATCATCCATCACAAAGAGTAAAACCAAAGAATAAATTTCCACCATCAGGGCAACAATTAAGAAGTTCCAATCAACTAAAGATATTACAAATCTGCCTGGAAGAAGACGTGTGTCTATATCGTCCTGATGCACGGTGAGGAGGAGAGTTTGAGTGGCCAAAGACTCTCTGAGGATCACAGCCAGAGAATCGCAGAGATTAGCTGAGTTTTGGGATTAGTTGAGTCCCTACATCACCACATGTTGTTTGGGAAGGTTTCAAGAAAAACCCTCCTCGCTCATCCAAAAACAATCTCCAGCATATTCAGTTGTCAGACACGACTGGAACTTCAAATGGGACTGGCTTCTATGGTCAGATGTAACTAAAAAATTAGCTTTTTAGCAACAAACACTCAAGATGGGTTTGGTCACAAAGAGTAAAACCAAAGAATATAGTGCAGAACAAGATTGCTGAGCTTCACAAAATAGAAAGTGGCTGTAAGAAAATAGCTAAAGCATTTAAAATTCCTATTTCCACCATCAGGGCAATAATTAAGAAGTTCCAGTCAACTAAAGATGTTACTAATCTGCCTGGGAGAGGACGTGTGCCTAAATCGAGCTAATGCACGGTGAGGAGGAGAGTTTGAGTGGCCAAAGACTCTCCGATGATCACAGCTGGAGAACTGCAGAGATTAGTTCAGTCTTGGGGTCAAAAAGTCTAAAAAAACAATTTCAAACAGCCCCAACATCACCGCATGTTGTTCGGGAGGGTTTCAAGAAAAACCCTCCTCGCTCATCCAAAAACAATCTCCAGCATATTCAGTTGTCAGACACGACTGGAACTTCGAACGGGACTGGCTTCTATGGTCAGATATAAAAAAAAATAGCTTTTTTGGCAGCACACCCACCAGATGGGTTTGGTGCAAACAGGGATAAAAAGTAGCCCATGCACACGGTTAAATATACTGCTGGATCTTTAATGTTGTGGGCCTGTTTTTCTGCCGGAGGTCCTGGACATCTTGTTCATATACATGGCAGCATGGATTCTATCAAGTACCAACAGATAAAAAATGTAAACCTGACTGCCTCTGTTAGAAATTTTATAATGGGCCGTGGTTGGATCTTCCATCAGGACAATGATCCAAAACAAACATCAAAATCAACACAAAAATGTATCAGGGCAACAATTAAGAAGTTCCAATCAACTAAAGATATTACAAATCTGCCTGGAAGAAGACGTGTGTCTATATCGTCCTGATGCACGGTGAGGAGGAGAGTTTGAGTGGCCAAAGACTCTCTGAGGATCACAGCCAGAGAATCGCAGAGATTAGCTGAGTTTTGGGATTAGTTGAGTCCCTACATCACCACATGTTGTTTGGGAAGGTTTCAAGAAAAACCCTCCTCGCTCATCCAAAAACAATCTCCAGCATATTCAGTTGTCAGACACGACTGGAACTTCGAACGGGACTGGCTTCTATGGTCAGATATAAAAAAAAATAGCTTTTTTGGCAGCACACCCACCAGATGGGTTTGGTGCAAACAGGGATAAAAAGTAGCCCATGCACACGGTTAAATATACTGCTGGATCTTTAATGTTGTGGGCCTGTTTTTCTGCCGGAGGTCCTGGACATCTTGTTCACATATTGGCATCATGGATCCTATCAAATACCAACAGATAAAAAATCTAAACCTGCCTGCCTCTGTTAGAAATCTTATAATGGGCCGTGGTTGGATCTTCTATCAGGACAATGATCCAAAACAAACATCAAAATCAACACAAAAATGTCTCACTGAGCACAAAATGAAGCTTCTCCCATGGCTTTCCCAGTTCCCTGACCTGAACCCTGTAGAAAATGAGTGTGGTGAACTGAAGAGAAGAAGCTGTGAATCTGAAGGGTCTGGAGAGATTCTGTGTGAAGGAATGCTCTCTGATCTCGTGTCAGGTGTTCTCTAACCTCATCAGGCATTATAGGAGAAAACTCAGAGCTGTTATCTTGGGAAAAGGACGTTGCAATAATTGGGTGCCAATAATTGTGACCAATGTGAA